CAACATAAGATGGGGATATCATTACATATGTGGGGCAAATCATAGCATAGGGTGGGGATATCATTACATATGTAGGGCAGATCATAGCATGGGGTGGGGATATCATTACATGTGTGGGCAGATCATAGCATAGGGTGGGGATATCATTACATGTGTGGGGTGATCATAGCATAGGGTGGGGATATCATTACATATGTGGGGCAGATCAAAACATAAGATGGGGATATCATTACATATGTGGGGCAGATCATAGCATAGGGTGGGGATATCATTACATATGTGGGGCAGATCAAAACATAAGATGGGGATATCATTACATATGTGGGGCAGATCATAGCATAGGGTGGGGATATCATTACATATGTAGGGCAGATCATAGCATGGGGTGGGGATATCATTACATATGTGGGGCAGATCATAGCATAGGGTGGGGATATCATTACATATGTGGGGTGATCATAGCATAGGGTGGGAATATCATTACATATGTAGGGCAGATCATAGCATGGGGTGGGGATACCATTTCATATGTGGGGTGATCATAGCATAGGGTGGGGATATCATTACATATGTAGGGCAGATCATAGCATGGGGTGGGGATATCATTACATATGTGGGGCAGATTATAGCATAGGGTGGGGATATCATATATGTAGGGCAGATCATAGCATAGGGTGGGGATATCATTACATATGTACGGCAGATCATAGCATAGGGTGGGGATATCATTACATATGTGGGGGAAGATCACAGTGAAGAGATAGAAAAAATGTCACAGTTTAATAAAAGCAAAATTCATAACAGAAAATAAAACACTTTTTCAAATCATATTGCATGATTGATCTGATCAAGAATTACGTGAGAGACGTTTGAAATTGACACACATTATTAATGTCACATGGGATCCATAAAAAAACTCAACACGAAGTGACAACTGATATTTGAATAAAAATCACTCAATAAATCATTCACAAACAATTAATTTACATGATTTAGAGATAATGTTTGGATTGCTTTTTATAAACAAAGAGTGGATCTGGATTCTCAGGATTGCACTAGTGCATCATGGGAGATGTAATTGGAATGGCCTGCCAATCATGTATGTACTCGTCAAAATCATGGTCACATGATGGTTATAACATGTAAACAACGTGTTCATTATCACAAATGACTATAATTTGGCAATTTAGATTAGGGAAGTTCCTGCCAATTGAGTTATTATAAATATGCATAGCAATAAATACTCACAAGTAGAAATGGCTCATATTCGTCCACAGTCAGTGCTTGTTGCACAATCTCCACAGTACCAGTATTATCATCCAGAATATTCTGACATTTTCCCATTTGCTCCTCTAGGTGGCGCTTCTTCATTGCAACATTCAATGCCAGCTCCAGACGAGCTCTCTGATCAGCTTGATTTACAAATTTATGCAACTCAGAAAATTCTTTCTTGATCTTCTTTTCCATTTCTTTTCCTCCTTCCTGGGAAAGTCATAACCGTTAAATAAGTGTCTATACAAACCATCCACTATATATTTCAGAGAATAATAACTTAGAACCTCATGGTATTTGGGATTTGAAACTATTTTTTGAGATTGGGACACAAAACAATTCATTGCAACTCTTTGACTGCCGTGGGAATTTTCTGATGGTGGATTTTCAAGAGTGGCTTTCAGGTTATCATGTAGGAATAATTCTGAATAAACTAAACCTATATAACATAACTAGAGAAATATCATGAAATCATTTACATCAATTTTATTGATGATTCCGACGATTTTCTTCACAAAATCTTGAAGTCCATCATTTTTCCCCGACAATTTCTTGGCTTCATTTTCAAGAAAGTCCTGTATAAAAGAAAATAAACGTTTTCAATTCTAAACTTGAAATAAATCGATTGTCACATGATTTTAGCCGCCATCTTGGATTTTGTGAAAACGGAACTGGTGTTATATTGGTCTGAAATGTTTGAGCGCACATGGCATGTGGTCATCTAACCTCATTAATATGCAAATGGTTATACTCTCAAGCACTGTTGCAGATAGGACCATGCAACCTGTGAAGACGTTACACAAGAGATCTGACTAAAATAACATATATGGTCATGTGAACTCATTAATATGCATAACTGTCATATCTGAAACACTGTCGCAGAACAGGACATGCAACATGCCATATACTGAAGACATCAAGCAAAAGATGTATCTATTATAAAAGATGGCCAAATATCATCATGTAACCTCATTAATATGCATAATGATGTTGCTCAATATATATTCTGAAAACCATATTTCGATAACCAATAAACCAGGAAAAACATGGAACCAACTGCATTTCAATCTCATGGTAGTGATCATTCAAACTAACCTAATGGATATCATGTGACCTCATTAATTATAAATAAAACAGGTGCCTCATAGCTTGCGGCTCTGGCGGCTTTAAATTATTTATCTTTTTTCGCAATCGACTGTGACCTGGACAACCTGACCCAAAAAAGCGTGTGATTCATACATGATCTATCGCATAATCTTGCCTACCTTTTCTTGGCCAAAAACTGTTTTTAACTCAGACACTTGGTGACCTTGGTGACCCCCGAATCTATCACACAAATAACAGACTGGGGTACGACACGATGTACAGTACATCTTTAATAGCTCTCCCTCATGGCTCGGGCAAGTAATGACACCAGGAGTCGAGCTGCTCGTCGCACGTACCATCCGATGTGTTGCTAACCCCCCGCGACTTGGGTGTAATACTGGCAGGCATTTCTTGCAGTAGGAAATCTTACAAACGGTGCACGACTTAACTGCTTTGCACGGGTCTTTTTCACAGACGTCGCACAAAATAATCTCTTCTTTGTGCTTCACTTCTTTTCCGTCGCGTGCACAGGCAGCTTTATATTTCTCAATGATGCTGTCCAGAAGAAAGTTTCTTCTCAGAGAATCCAGCCCTTGGCGCTGTAGGTCGACTTCACCTCGGCATGTTGGGCATGGCAGTTTGGAACGATCGACAACTACTGTGCCCGCTGTGGCGCCTTTGTCGTCGTTGGCGGTGCCTTCTTGCTTGTGTTTTTCCAGAGTGTCCGCGAGGCAATCCTTGCAGAAAGTATGTCCACATGGAAGTAAAAGGGGAGAACTGTAGAGTTCGAAACAAATCGGACAGGATAGTTCCCGCTGAAGAGCGTCTTCTATTTTGGCTGCCATGCTGAAGAATGAAGAATGTGTATAATTCTCAGAAAGTTTGTGTCATCTGCAACATGCGCCTGCGCAGTACAGTAGGTAAAAAAGGTGGGCGTGGCCTAAGCAAAGTGGGTACGTCGGGTCCAATCACAGGAAGTTGAACAAACTTATGTATTTTAATAAATTATTAAATAATAAAATGTTGTATAACTTTTTTTTATCCCCCTGGTCTTTTACTCCTCTTGTTTATACCACTCTTTCCTTTATCACAACTATGTTATACTAGTATAGTATGCAATTTTTAACGCGCGATGTAGACACACCCTATTATAGTGAAGCGCTCGACCATGTGCCATTACTTTGCCGGCAACATATTCCTGCGTGGTGCCGATTCAAGAACCTCAATTAAATTATACAAATTATTAAAACATCGCTGTCTGCCTTCAGCAAGTACTCTGTATCCGGACAGTAACATGTGAGATTCTCGATTATATATATATATATTTTTTTTTAATATTTGTTTGTGCCAGGCGACAGTTCCGGACTTTGAATGTCACTGTTGTCTCTCCTGACTTTTTTTTTGTACGTACATATTGCAAGTGCTGACACATAGTGCATTTTGCCACAGAAGTCGTTTCCTGTTTGGGACTACATGACAAGGCTGTGCAGCCATCAAGCGACAATTTAATGCGCTATCCTGGCGTCAACCACTGCTAGGTCAAACACAAGCACCTGCGGACCTTAACCAAGGTTCCCCCAAAGTCGCATTCGTTAGTGAATGAATCTCGGCCAGTGGAATTGGCCTTCCTATTGAGTCTGTGACACACTCACCCAGGGTAGGGGTCGACCCTTTTGATGTTCAGCCTAAGGTAGGATTTGAACTTGGGTCTACCATGGAAGGTAAAAAGATCATGAGTCTGACGCGACAGCCACTATGCTACCAGTGACCGGTTCTCGATTATAAATATATCACCATGTGCTTTGTTTTCACTGTGAAGTCCCCGGATGACATATTCTGTATCGTCTTTCGGTTTCCCAATGATAAATAGATGGATTATATCCCGTCCTTTAATGTGTACCACTCTCTCTTCCCTGGTTTTGCGATTTGCATCTCGGGCGTAGACCTCGCCTGGATGGCGACGAATCGCAGCAATCGCGGGAATAATCAAGGAATTGAAAGCTAAAATCATTGTTGGTATACAGACTCATCTGCTGTTCCATGTCGTTTAATGTAACTATTCGTTGATCGTTGAGTCGTCACCAAAATCGGGAGTGCTGGTAACAATCACATCTAGTGTAATCTCGTTCAACCTAATTGCGTACCGGGAAATCGTGTGTACGATGATGAATGGAATAGCAAAACACGCCGAGGCGAATACGAGTTTAACTTTAGTTTTCCTGCGTGGAAGTCTGTCTATTTCAGTTGCAGTTACAAAGATGTTTATCTTCTCTGCTTTAGTTAATCTTAAGCTTGTTCTACGATAGTTCGCTCACTGTGGTTCGCCAAAGAAAAAAGAATGATATATGGTTAATCCCGCTCTGTGCTCCGGGTGAAGGCAAAGTCGTTCAAAACGACCAGTTTAATTGGTTATCTAGAATATTGTAAAATCTCCCAAAAAACATAATCTTCATTAATGGACGCCTTCAGAAAGATATCGATAACGATTTGAACGGCATCTGTGTCAGGTAATAGCAGCACTTCGCCACTAGAGGGCGGCGAACATATCCATCTTGATCTGTACAATTTAAAGTTCCCTATAAAATAACGGTACCACGAGTTCCCAGACGTCTGTCTTCAGTGACATTGTAAGGCTGTAATGTTTCCATTTTTTATTTGATAGTCTTAAGAATTTATTTTGTCATATGAACTAAATTCAAAAGTCAAGACGCTCGTGGATCTGTTTGATGTTGGATCTTTGTCCGTACAACCTAAAACCCAGCCATATATTTCCGTTTCAAATTCAGGCTGCTTCGGGCGGAGCATGCTTCAAAAATACAGTTGACATACATGGAAAGTACATGTTCATCGCCGGAGAAGATGGCACTTAAAAAAATGGGGTACGCAACATTGAACGAAAAAACGCATGTAACGTGATTTGTTCAACGCGTAAAGAGGTGGCGAAATAACATTTAAAGTTTCCTAAGCTATCTTCGCTGAAATATACTGGAAAATTGTTATTATACTGAAAACTGACTTAAATTATATGTTATTTTAAAAAATGTTTTTAAAATAATGTTAGGATGCGTATCAATAGTAATTTATTACTTTTTAATTCTATGTGAAATGTTGAAATATAAATTATAATGTTTATAAGGAAATGTCTGGATATTTTGCCACTGACTTCACAACTGTTGCCTTTTAGAATATGACACAAATAATTAAATATGCCTGACTTCTAATAAAATAATCAGTACAGACTAAGTATGAAATATTCATGTATTTACATATTAAACAGGGATTTGCACACACAAAAACGACACTATTTTCAATATATATTCTCATTACAATATATTCTCGTGTACTACGGCATTTCTCCTCTGGTTTCAATGACGTCATTATAACTACTAGTAATCAAATATCTGATCGTAAATTATTATTTCTACAATAATTAATTTTGTAAAACAAACCTTATATGATTACTAGCGCACGGCCACCTCTCACCAACCGTGTTAAATTCTACGTGGATTGAAAATTGAAGAATTACCTACCGTTTTGCCATGGCAACGACAGTTTACTATTTTCTACTCCTACTATTCCGACTCCAGAATAAACCGAACATCTATACAAGCCTATACTGCCAACACTTATTGTTATGAAATAACTGATATCAACACATAACGATGGGTGTGAATTTCACAATGGAAGAAAATCATTAGGTCTTCTTATGTCTATACGTATATTAACAACAATTGTGGTAAAACGTTGCTTTCTTACATGTTACCACCTCTGTTTGCTTGATGAGATTGGGAGATATTTCTGTATTGCTTCACTAATGTCAGCAACATTACTTGTAACGCTAATTTCAAATACACAAACTTAAGATCGTTTATTTTACAGAAGAGAATCGCGAGCCGGAACGTCCGCCCTGGTCGAAACGTCCGGGCCGAAACGTCAGGCATTCCACGCGACACCTAATTGTGAACTTTGTGGTATATGAATACTAATTAGGACATTTCGCACGCTTAGAAACAGCTTAAAACAGTAGGCGAAATTTATTGCGATTTCCAGAAAGTTCGACGTCTTGCATAAAATGAAAACCATACAATGATTTCTGTATACGCCGAAAACATCGATCAAAACCGTAGCTCAAAAATGCTTTTTACAACCGTTTTAACAACGTTTTTTATTATAACTTTTGAAACCATGCACAAGTTACATATATATATAGTAATTAAATCATAATATTGTTTGTTATTACCCGTAAAATCGACAAACTTATTGTAGTAATGTATTATTCATATATTTAAATGGCATAACGCAACCAATTGCGTCATGCAAATCACCGCCTTTGTCAACAGATGTTTTCTAAAAATATTTAAAAAGACATTGATAAAACTAAATATTATAACGTTTGTGAAGAATTACTGGTTTGTCATAGTTTTAAAACGCATTTAATAGTTTTTAGGGAAGATATACAAAATAGAAATCAATTTGAGTGGTGAATAAGATAACATTGCTACTGCTACGTCATACAGTCCACGGCCACAGTCAAGTAGTGCGTGTTATTTGTAACAAATATAATTATGCGCATTTTAGAAATAAATAACATTAATAATAGAGAAACAGTTCCGATCACCGTTTTTTTTTCGATTTCTTTGAGTCAGTCGTACTTATCGGGGAATTGTATACACCCATCAACACAATATATATTGAACCCAGGGAGTACTCCAAGTCAGATCTGGTACTCATGCTGAGGTATAGCTTTTCAAAAAAAGCCTCTAAACACGTATTTATTTTTGTGAAATTATACCCCCTTTCAAGTGCAGAAACTTAAAATAGATACGGTATATACATATTGAAATCATACTGTTTCCAAGTTGAGGTAACATGAATTCATTAAATTCCCTTCTTCTTTTTCACACTTTATCACCTTAAGCGCAGGCGTCAAACAACTAAATAACACCCTTTTTACGCGTTTTTTTTACTTCAGCCTGCGTATCATATTTTATTCGGAGAACCTTCCCTGGTATATTGAATATCACAATATACACTACACGTTCTTGACTAATATGCGTTGATCATTGTGTGAAATTTAATAAAGAAATCACCAATTAAAAGTACGTTTGTCTGTTGCTGTTTTTTTCATGGAGTTTACAAATCATATTCAGTTAGCACAGTTTATTTAATCAGACAACAAATCTCAACTTTATGCAAATTTAAATGATCTCAACACGAGCAAAACATTGCAATATTTGTCTACATCCATGCGACTTGCACTCACTATACAGCACAATACACTACAATTCAAAGAAAACTCACATTAACTTAAATTTTACGACGCACACATTTGGCAGGTTCAATCAATACGTCAACTGAGGGCGCTATGCAGTGGTCTGCAGGATTTGTTGGTGGTGGTGACGCGAACCATTAATTTTATTTTTTTGGACTAATGTTTGTTTGTATTGCGTAATTCTATGGATTGTTTTTCCGAGGTATAACATTCATCATTTCTGACCAACTTGGAATTTGCAACTATATATATTTTAGAGAATTGTAGAAAGTGTTCAATGCGAATGACGCAATAGCAACGCCCTCACAATATAGAACGTTTGAGTGAACTTGGGGAAAAGGTCATAGTTTGTTAAACCCAATTGTCCCGTGCATTTTAACATGTTTATACAATTGAAAAAGCTAGCCGCCTGTTACAACAAGAGATCTACAAAAGCAAATTGAAATCCAAGCCACGAACCATATTCATGCCAGCCCCTTTCAGAAATTAGGGCCCAGTTAGGTTCTATACCCGGTAGTCTAAATTTTAGAAAAGAACATTTAAGTAAAAATAAAATAACACTCATTCCATGCAGAGACTCTCACTTAGAAACGTCCATTTCACTTTTCATTATATATAAACATGTATGTTGTTCCAGTAAGTTAGGGGCTCAACAGAAATGGAATACATCCACTATAAAAGGAAAACAAAGCCACTCAGTTCAATTGTAATTAACATGTAAAAAAAATCATTCTTTAATGAAAAACGATCACACTATTATTTACAAATAGGCAACTATTGTGGGTTACAAGTAAGTACATTGATTTGACATTTATTGATATCCGGGGAAAAAACATGAGATGACAGATATGAGTAGCTATGAAAAAAAAAAACATTTGCTGTCTTTCGATACAAAAGAACAAAACCAAACCAATCAATATTGGCGTCAGAATAATATTTGAGTCTGTATTTGACTTTGGGTCAAATTATTGCTGGAGGAAATGTTAAACTTAAAACAACAACTATTGGCAGTATTCAAGTCGAACAAGTTTCAAAATATGTGATGATAAATAGAACATGATTACGTCAGCAAATATTGAGGCATTGAAGACGGTAAAAATAATTTTATAAACAAAATAACATGATTGTATTATGGTACAAAACTTTAAAAACAATTATTTTGGGAAGCACAGAGAATAAAAACTTTGATTGTTACTAAAATAAGTTATTTACATATAAAACATGGGTACTGTTAAAAGGACACATCTAATTGGATAAAACACCTAATTGGTTGTGATGGTTTGGCAGTATATCTAGCGACTCAAGTCAAACATTAAGACTACAATAAAATCTTATCTACAATAAAACTTTACAGCGGAATTTAGAATGAACAGTAATTAAAACTTTTCAAACTCTGAGAAAATTAACATATAATACACAGTGTTTTGCTCTGAGCTACATCGTAAGGCTTATACTCCTGTTCATTTTTCTTCCAATAAGTCGTGTCTTTTTGGTGGATAGTCTTGGAAAACTTGCATTCTCGTTCTGTTTTTGAGCTTCTGTAAGTGCCCTAAAAATGGGAAAAGAAAAAAATTGTTATTTTTCAAAGAAAACACTCCCCATTTACTATGAAAATTGTATTGTGGTCTATTTATTATTGGCAGCCCTTTCCACAAGATTCATGCCGATAGAATGTTCATAGATTCTATTGCTTTTGAACTCAACCAGGATTGTTGGCATTATTCTGTTATTAAACAGTAACAGTCTTGAAAAATTGACAAGAATCTTGACTGGATATTGCACCCGTGTGGCAAGGCAATATCTGGATATTGGACTATACAGGGTTGCAATTATACAGATAATACCCCCAACAAGATGTGTAAATTACTACTGCTGGGCCAGCACAAACCAGGGTCCATAGCACCAAGAGCTAAATGATTTCCAAGACTTCTCCAGATCTTTTCCCAAACTCTCTTGCATTTTTTCAAGACATTTTGACCTTTGAAATTCAGGCTAACATGGTAGAAGGGCGGGTGCCGGGATAGCAATCACTGCTGACACTTGTCGAAACTGGGGTAGAAACACTTTATAAAAAAAGACTATGCAGAAAAAACAAGCTTTTCTAAAATGAATTACCGGTAATAACTATGAAGAAATTTTCAAGACTTTCCAGACCTCAAAAAATCCAAAGACTTTCAAAGGATTTTCCCAAGGCCCTGGACCCTGCAAACAATTGTGCACACCTGGATCGACATTGTAAGTTTTTTTTAAATTGCAATGAAGACTACCTCTCGATAAACAGCAAATGTTTTGGGGCTACAAATACATGATTTAAGCTTACCTGGAAAGAATAGCATTCTGAAACTTGGCTGCATTAAGTTCCTTTTTCAGTTGATTCACAGATCGCTTAGTAAACGGACACAGCAATGGATGTTGAACTAAGGTCACTGCTGACGGCCTCGCACGAGGATCAGGATGCACCATACTGACAAGAAGATCGTTGAACTCATCTGAACATTGTGGAAGGCGTGGCAGGTCACCTGATCGTATCCTATGCCACATATCCCCATTCATGGGTAAAGGGCCTTTACCACCAGCCATCAGAATGGTGAGCGCTAAAGAAAAGATGTCTGCCTTAGGAAGATTGGAAATATCCTAGAATAAAGAGAAATCAGATTGGTTGAGTACAATAAATCTGTGAATTATACAACTTTAGCAGCAATCTTTAAATTAATTTAAACATTCACGGTAAACTGAATTATTTGGTTGTCATTGTGACTAATAAAAATGATAAAAAATGGTGTTTTGTTTCTATCGAAAATATGCTTCCACTAGAGAAAATTTGCTTACACAAGTTTTACACTAGATGATGAATGTGAAATTAAATTCAACATATACGGCTATGACTCAAACCAATGATCCTGTACAATAAATCATCAAGCTACACATGACACATATTCCTTGGCTATGGGAAATCCCAGAAAAAAAATAGACTTTCACTGAAATGTACTCGTAGTAATAGACTTCTACTTTATGTATGGTTGGACTTACCTCTTGTAAGATTTCATTTGGCAAGAACCTGACATCACCTTCCTCAACCTTGGGATTAGCTATCGATGTCACATGACCTAAATCACCTGGAGGAATGAAAAAACAAACATTTTACTTAATATCGGGTGGGGGGGGGGTCTAAATACCAAAAGAGATACTGTAAAATACTCGTAAATACTGTAAAATTTTCACTTGGAATTAATTTTTGCTGAATGATTGATTCAGTAAAAATAAAATCCACTGATTGTACATTTTTTTTTATATTTTACATTCAACCGAAAACAAAACACCCAAAAGGTCTTTTAGGGAAAATTACAGCAGTTAAATTATTACAATTCATCATTTATTTTGTTATAAAAATCTTACCAATTTTATAAACTGTTGGAAACCTATCAGAGGATAAGTAGTTGTCGTCTTCTTCCTCTTCATCACCGCAACTGTCGTCTTGGCAACCATCACTACCAGGTGATTTGTGAATGGGTTCTTTTCTGTGTACAAAAATATTCCCTATAACAGTAGAAATAGACATAATTAATGCAAGGTAATTTAATTAATAAACGTGTGAAATTTTATATTTCATGGTCAGACTAAATAAAAATAACAAATTTGACATAACAAGACTGAATTTTTGATTAATTACGCAGGCAGGAGTAATTACTGAAGATGCTAATTACAACAGAGCACACAAAGAGTATCTTCAGTACAAAAACGTAATCCCCTTAATTTATTGACAAAAACTTAGGAAAATAATAATTTGGAGAAGTGACTGGGTAACTTACCAGGTTTGATGTCCATATGAACCAACCCCAGTGAATGTATGTATCGTAAACCATCAGCAACTTGCAGTAAAACTTGTTTCAATTCCCGTTCAGATAGTACTTTTCCACTTCTCCTGTTTTCTGTGATGACATCTGCTAAACTGCCAGCTATAGGAACCAAGGACAAATATAATTTAGCTAATATTATCTCAGTTATACTATATAGAGAATTAATCAACGCTTGTTGTGAATGAAAATTAAATTATTATTTAAAGTATTAAATGGTGTCAACTTACCGTTGCAATATTCATTCTGGATAATCATGTGGTCGTCTTCCGCCCAGGCTGAGTAGTACCGGACAACGTGTAAATGGGTTCCTAATACAGCATGCGCATATACTTCATTCATTGCCATTTGTCTACAAGTAATAAAAAATGTGAAATTAATTTAAAATAAAAATTTTTTTACCGGAATATACTAGTAGTTGGAACTGATACTGTAAAATATTTTATTTTTGCTTGTAATTTATTTTCGTTATTTTCGTTGAAGGGATGATTCCGTGAAAATAAAATCCAGCGAAGATACTTTTTTCCCCCTATATTTCACATTAAACTCATCAAAAATCAGTGAAAATAAATTCCATACAAAATTGCCAAAAAGCCTTTTCAGCGAAAATTAATTCCAGCGAAAATAAAGTATTCTACAGTATATATAATTGGTTTATACATACAATTTACTTAAGTAAATAATAGACATGTCTAGTTAACTAATTAATGATTTAGTGTAAAGTACAATTCTGTAAATACTTACTCGTCAACGGACCCCGCGACAGGTTTTTTTGATTTCTTAATAGCATAAAAACATCCATCAAGTCTGTTTATGCATTTATACACAGATCCGAACTCTCCAGCTCCAATTTTGCAGATTTCTACAAACTCTTCATTATACCTAGAAATATTACTTTCTCGTAGCGCAACTTTCTGTGAAATACAATAAAATACTTTTTATTAGTGACTGATATCATTGTTTTCTCAAAAAAACAGCTGCAAACCTGTCCAAGGTATTTAAAATCAGGGATACCAGAAACTGTTAAAAAGAATAAGTAGAGTTTACAACAAAAGACTTTTTAGAATCACATCATGTGAAAAAGGCATTTATGTGACCAGAATTTTGATGGCCACATAAACTACTTTCATGTACATCCATGTATCAATTTCTGTGCATATGATAAACTGACCAAGGTGTGAAAGAGTTGTCATTATTAGTCAAGATTAATTCCTTCTGTTTAATTACATGCAATTGTGTCAGTTGCATGCCATTACGCTGTATTGGAATTCATAATGAGACAAAGCTTTACAAGGACTTCCATGCTTCCCATTCAAAGCATTCATAACCTTGTACCATTGTGTCCAAAATTCTTTCTTTGAAAACCGGCATAAAGACATAGGCATCTGATTGGTGAATGACTTTGACTTCACACAAAAACACAATTAATCACCAGGGAGCCTGATATTATTCCCACGGTGTAACATCATAAAGACTCAGTATTTGAACTTGAAAATGTCTCAGATGAAAATGTATTTTTTATAATAAACACCTGATTATAGTAAACAGGCAGTTAACAGTTAAGATTAAGCCTTTTGTTTCTATTTTATGTATCAGAAGATATTATGGAGGTTAGTATTTTTAAAAACATGAAACCATATTCCTGGAAGAACATTAAAATTTTTCTGTAATTTGTCACAATATTTACACATGGTTGTTTATTTCATAAATGATCTGAGGAAGACAAAAAAGATTCATGTAAATGGTTTGGAAATGTCAGAGATTACAGGGGAATGATGTAGCTGAAACAATTTGGATTTAGACAAGGGGTTTTGTTTTCACTTCCAATAGTAATGCAGAGAGCCCTACAAGGGAGAAAAAACCTGCTTACCACATTTGAGTAATATAGTAAAATAATTGGCTAAATTTATCTGGCTTAGGTATTCAATAAATTAAATAAAGCAAAGGCAGTTTTGTTGGAGCCAACATTTTCTTTCACACTTGAACACTAGATCACTGGTGTGGTCAGCAACAAATGGTGAAACCATATACTACTGGCATTACCAAACAGTGATTTTAAAATTTAGAAAGTTAGGTCCCATTGTTCAGAATAGGGAGCATGCCAAAGTCACAATTCAAAAGTACACTTCAATTGTTACCTTTAATCAGTCTTTTGTTTTGTCACAGGGTTGGCATTTGACGCTGCATATCATTAAAAATACCATGTCTAGCCGTTGATGCAACCCTAGGAACACCAACACCAACAGGAAATTTCTCAGAATTTTAGGGTCTGGATTGAGATATTGCTACCAAACACTAACATACTGCAGTCTGTACTACCTACTCGTGTTTTACCCATTATGGAATTTAAATAGTTTTAAAAAAGCAGACCCTGGATTGAATCTTTAAATTTAAATTCTAAACAAAGGGACATCAATGTACTGATTTCAACACATTGGGCAGAGACCATCGTCTGTGTTTGTATGTACAATGTTTGACGACTAAAAATATCTACGTACTTTTGATGGATTTCCTTGAGTTTCCTCGTCATCCCAGTCTTCATCACTGTCACTGTCCATAACATTCCTACATTTGAGAAAAAAAGTAAAGAATTTTTTTTTAGAAATTAAAACCCAATGATAATTGATTTGATGAACAAGTACCAGATCTGCTGCAGCTCCAAGAGAACTAAATTTTAGTTTCACGATGTGACGCAAAAGGCTGAATATGAAATTTAAATCCACATATATACACAAATATATTAAAAAAAAATGATGTTATATAATTTATGTTAATATAATATAACATATATAGTTTATTATATCCTCCTATGGGAATGACAAAAAAATAAATAATATAATATTATTATTTCTTTTAATCGGAATAGAATATAATGACGTCACATGGAAGTGAGTCACCTACAAACAATGTTCCCCAAAATGTACGTTTTTGTAATGAATGACGAAATAATGAGAGGCTAATATATGAGTCACCCTTCCACCCACCTTTGCTGGTAAACATGCCCATTTTTGGAATAAATTTTAAAACAACATGGCCTTCAAAATTGCATGGTCAGTTGACTGGCTTTAGCTGGTTATTGTGGCATAACAACCCTGACCCGATCTCTGATGGTGGTTGCAGTTAACCCAGAATATCATGAAATGTTCACAAAACATACCTAAAATCTCGCCTTGATCTCTTTTTTGAAACGCTGCCAAGTAAGGCGGTTGGTGTAAATGGATTGACGTTTGCAGTGGGTTTCTTTGGCTGTTTTGGTGCCGATTGCGGCCTCCTTCTTTCCGACGATAAATTTCCACCTGAAAAAAGAGCTCCTGTTAGGCTTCGTTGCCCGTTGTCTGGAGTACACGAGTTCGTAGTTGATTTTTTCAAAAGAGTGTTCGGTGTATGTGGAGTGTCGTAAAGTCTGAGGTTCCTCATCCGCTTGTGTGGAATTGGCGTGTCAGGAACTGTGCTCGGACGCTTGAACTCAAAGTCTGGTGACGTCGTCGTCGACGCGGGACTACACAATTTGGAGAAATCCATTGGTGAAACATTTCGCTGGCGGGTGAATTTATCGTTGGTTGCCGGACTCGCCGGTGGACTAGAGAAGTCAGGATCCCAAAACGGTATCTCATCAAAGTTATTATTGTTGTTATTAATGTTCAAGGAACGGCAAATAGACGGTGTTGGCGGCGTGATGCTAAAAGGTCCATCGGGGACGTCTTCTTCTCCCGATGAATCGAAAGAGTCTCGGAAATCCAACCTCTGTACAGGTGATCTTGTACATCGCAGTTGTCGACTGTAATCGCATGGTGACGGGGACGCCATCACGTGTCCGACAGTGAAAACAAAATCCGACTATAAAGAAGTATTTTCTCCGATGAAGCAGCTAGAATGCTGTACCGTGAAATGTGGTGTTTCCTTTTGGGTCACGCTGTAAATTTGTAAATTGGCGCGTCTGTTAACCACGTGATATTACTGACCAATCAGAAGATGGTTGCGGCTTTTGAACCTAACGGTGACGTCACGTGTTTGTTTACAAGTAAAGACAAGAACGGACAATGCGCTAGCCCCTGGACAAACAATAGCTGCAACGTCACGGAATAGTGCTTGTTGACACAGGCATCACGTCACCATATATAGAGACCCGTGAACAACAGTGAACGGGGTATTTTTCAGTTGCTAGGCAACACACGTTTGACACATTCGCCCTCTGTGACGGTGTGAACAATATGCACTTGTTTTTTAATGTACTAGTAAGCCAACACGAGGGGATTTAAATACCATGAATATAACGCGTATGGAAATTAACCAACCATATTTAACGACGGTATTATCAATAAATGGACTGATGTATCTGTAACATCATATTGCAATTATAACAAAATTCCGCAAATGTCTCCAATCTAAGACAAGTTATATTTTATCATGTATTATTGGTCACTGCGCTGATTCTACTCAGCCTTAGGCCACACTGATTTAATTTTATGGATGACATCCTCTGGAGACCCCAAAACTAATGCGAGAGGGCGAAAAAAAAAATCCTGCCAAAAAAAAAA